GCCACCACCAGGTTGGCAACTTTTTCCTATTCATACTCGCTACTAGAACCTCCATTAGTTGACTCGGCGTCACTTGGCTGTGCGGCACAACCACTTAACGTGTCCCTAGGATGAAAGGCAATGCTTACTCCCCTAGATGGAGCTGCCTCATCGCCTTTCGGGATCACCACCATGGTTGTTGCATCTTCATATTCGTTCCCTTCAGACATCACTACTCGGCTCTGTCAGTTTCAACCCCTAACCAGCTCGATGCTATACAAATACTGAGAGCTGAATCTCATTTGGCTCGGACCGACCCAATTTGACTTCGTCTTCTCCAAAACCAAAGTAGACTCTTTATCTTCGTCCCTCTCTCAGAATGGATCGAAAAACCACCTCACCTCAAAAAAAAAAAAAAAAAAAAAGTAGACTCTTTATCTTCGTCCCTCTCCTATAATGGACTGGAAAACCACTTTGTCTCCAAAAAACCAGCGTAAAACTCCACAAAACCACCCTTTTTCCAAAAACAGAGAACCCAAACTCAAAAATAAACCAAAATCCCTCAAAATAAGCCCCCAAACATTTCACTCCCTATTTTTTTGACGTAAAACAACAAAAAAACCAAGAAAATAAGCTAAAGAGCAAAGGATTGTCGAGTTCAATGGCCGAAAATGAAAATCCCTATGCTTTCTCTCTCCCAAAACAAGTCTTAGTTCAAAAATGTGTTGAAGAAACAAATCGTCACCGCCTTTAAAGGACTCAATTCTGCCAAGTGACAGGTGGCAGAATTCTATTGGCTTCTAGAAGGCGAAAACTTTTCATTTCCTAGCTCTCTTATCTTGCATGTGATCCGTACGAGACAAGACATGCAAGGGTCCTGACCACGTCGACCCATAATCCGTCAACCTTGCCAAACCGGAACGGCTCAGATGTTCTCAAAAAGATGCCTTGATAGAATGTCGAGAGTCTACACCTTCACACCCTCACCTTTTCGAGATCTCGACAATTACGTTGATCGGTAAAGGCCACCGATCCACGCTTAACTAGCCAACAACACCCAAAATGGAACGGGCTAAGCTAGCACTGGATAATTGCACATAAAGGATCCAAACGACAAACATTTCAGTTGGCTTAGGTAAAGCGCTCCACACTGAACACCGCCGAACCAGGCAAGTACGCCTTTACTTAGAAACTCCACATGAAATCCTTGCGAATTTCTTTGTCGTTCGGCTCGGCCATTGATACCGAGCCGATTTAGACGTGTCCCCTTAACACCTTTGATGGCCTAACTCTCCACCCAGGAGCAACAACCTATTCACATCCCAAATGTGAGTAATTGAATCTACTCTCTAAGCTAAATACCCTTTAGCTTAGAGGGTGAGGGACAAACTGTATGGGCCAAAAATCATATTAGACTTGATGAGGTCCAATAGCATCGTTAATATGTGACGACCTAAAGTCTTGGCCCAATCCTGATTGAGCCCACTCTTAGAATACCTTGGAAACTACCTACTCTATGAGTTGGGCCACCCCCAAGTTAAGTTGAATTGGGTCTGGCCCATTCACCCACAACAGTCCATAACAAGCATCCGAATCCTAACCAAACTCCTATTTTAACAAGATCCCATATCTCACTCAAAGAGGAAAGCTTAAACTGATAAAGATAACAAATCTAATCTCTTTCCAAAAAAGAGAACTTACCTGCTAAGTAAGACTTAGAGTCTTATTAGGATTTCGACCCCTTGGGTTCACTATATAAACAGAGGCTGACCCTCTCATTAGGCATTGAAAAATCACCCTTAAGTTCCAGCTCTCATATTAGCAAACCCACAGCCTACTTCAACTTCCCTACATTGCTAAAGCTCCCCCTGGTCACAGGAATATCCTCCGCAAGTCCATCAAGATTACCAGTGGCTCGCATCACAAGATTATGTCTTCAATTCAATTGTAAATTTTAGCGTTTGCAAATATAGATCTTAGAACTTCATGATTTTCACAAACAAAATAATTAAACAATTATTGGGAGAAAACATACCTAACCCTGAAGCCATGATAATAAACCTTTGAGGTAAAAATTGATTTCTCCTCTCTTAACCCTTTTACATAGAATGCTAAAATTAATGGGGAAAAACATTAGCTCTTATGGTAAAGGGAGGACCAGTTTATATATAGAGAATAACAATTAATCTGATACATCTATCAAGTATCCATTAAATGGCTATGATTCATTACTCAATAACCACATGTAATAGTCAAATTTATTTGCACATGTAACTAATAAAAAAATATTGCACATGTAACCGATAAATTTAAAACAACTAGTAACTGCCAACATTTTGAATTAAATTCAAATTAGTGGACAACTGATGAGTCACTTCTAACAGTCTCCCACTTGGCTTATCTAATAAACCAACATAAGTGGTTAATGATATAACATCAAGCATGCAATAACAATGAGAACCTTTCTTTATGCCCATCACAATCACCTTAGCATAACAAACTACTAAATGTGAATCATGTCGATTGTATGTTGTTTATGTAAAATATTTCCTTTCATGCACCATTACAAATAGTTGTTCATCATACTCGATCTATAAGTTATATAAACATAATGGTCCACGATTATGGCTTAAAAGACTATCATATTTTCTTTGTCAATTATGTATACATCAATACAAGAAACATGAATATATATATATATATATAGATATATAGATATCCTATATATTATATATATATATATTCAAAAACACAAATTATTGAGCTCAGAGTGTTAATGCATCAATTATTATAACTAAGATCCATTTTATCTACATGTTCTTTAAATGTCTTTGGTTGCAATCCTTTAGATAAGGGATCTGCAATCATGAGATCTATCCTAATATGTTCAATAGACACTCGTTGTTTCTGAACCTCCTCCTTAACGGCAAAATACTTTAATTCCATATGTTTAGCACCTCTTGAGTATTTGTCGTTCCTGGAGAAGAAAACTATTGCGGAATTATCACAATAAATTTTCAGGGGCTTGATAATGGTGTCAACAATCTCAAGTCCTAAAATAAAGTTACGTAGCCATAATGCATGAATTGTAGCCTCAAAACATGCGATAAACTCTACTTCCATAGTTGATGAAGTGATGACAGTCAGCTTAGCACTCTTTCATGAGACTACTCCTCTAGCTAATCAGAACAAATAACCAAAAGTAGATTTCCTATTGTCTAGGCATCCAGCAAAATCTGAATCTAAATATCCAATTATTTCTAAACAATCGGATCTTCTATATGTGAGCATATAATCCGTCGTTCCTTGCAGATATCTCAAAACTTTCTTCGCAACTTTCCAATGATCAATTCCCAGATTACTTTGATACCTACCTAACACACCGACAGTAAAACTAATGTCTAGTCTAGTCTAGGTTTGTGCGTACATCAAACTGTCAACAACCGAAGCATATGGAATTGGTTCCATTTTCTTTCGTTCTACATTGTTCTTTGGGCGTTGCATGAGACTGAATTTATCCCCTTTTTGCATAGGGACAATGCTTGCTGAACATGATTCCATGTGAAACCTCCTCTATAATTCTCTCAATATATCCTTTTTGAGACAACCCCAACGATACTTGTGATCTATCTTAGATCCTACTGATCTTTTGGTATATACATCAATCAATATGTTTTCCTTAAATCCAAAGATGTTATGGTATCATTAAACTTAAGATACCATTGTTGAGAAGCTTGTTTAAGTCCATATATTGGCTTCTGAAACTTACACACCATATGACATTTTCCTTCAACTGAAAAGCCTTCAGGTTGGTCCATATAAACTTCCTCCTCAAGATTTCCATTAAGAAATGCTGTTTTCACATCCATTTGGTCCAACTCTAAATCATAATGTGATGTGTTTGTGAAAGCTTAGAGTGAGTTGTAATTGTTCTAAACAACACAAACATACAAAACACACTAAAGTACATGAACTAGATAAAGTAAAGATAAATTAAAGATAATACACAACAAATAACAAGATAAAGTAAAGATAAGTGCCAATGATCTCCAAAGCGTAAAGGCTACACCACCGGCTATGAAACATCACTAACAAGATAGAAGCCAAATTCCCAAGGCTTAAAGGCAACGCCACCGGCGAAGGGTCTCCAAAACGTAAAGGCATGGCCACCGGTTTTGAATTCCACCACCAAGCATGGCAAGAACTTGGATAAAGGAAAAATGATAAAACTCTCTCAAGAGCTCTCACATTTTCATTTCTAAAAATTTAACTCTCAACTTGTATTACAATGAATGAGAAGACCCCTTTATATAGGGTTACATTAGATTCCACATAGGAGAGAGAATTACAAAGTCAAAGTCAAGATAATAATAAAATATGAGACACATTTTGATTAGCCACCCTAAATGTCCCCTAAAAGCCAAAATGCCTACAAATATAAGTAAGAACCTTTAACCTAGAAATTTCCCAAAATGGTAAGGAACATGGAGCCATCAAGGATGAAAACCTTGTCTTTGCTAAATCGGGAATGTCTTGAGCTACCCATGTTATAATCTTGTCCACTCCATTAAATGCCTCCATGTGCATATGTTTGATTAGCCTTTGTTCTCTCCATTTTAACTTGAAAATCTTAGCTCCAACAATTCAAACTACACCCAAATAAATGGATTGGGCGTATTGGATCAACAATTTGAGGGGCTTGGATGAAATGGGCTTAACTTGAGCTCATCTTGCTGCATTCCTTCTCCTTGGGCTGAGTTGACTATGGGTTTGGATTTGTCTTGCACTGTTACTTCAACTTAGGCCGATTTGCTTCTAGAATTATGAATGGCTTTTCCTATTAACTTTGCTTGGCTCATATAAAGATTAATGGACTACCTTGAATGTGAATTCGCATCATAACGAGCCATTAATGCCATAATAATTCTTAAAGAATCCTTTTTAGAAACTATGGAAAAAGTCTATTTATAATCAATGCATTCTTTCTGAGTATAACCCTTGGTAACAAGTCTGGCTTTATATCATTCTATGTTGCCATTTGAATCGCGTTTGGTCTTAAAAACACTAACTCTTTTTGGACCTTTAGGCAACTCAACGAGATCCCAAACTTTATTTTGTTCCATGGATTTCAACTCTTCATTCATGGCATCAATCCACTTATCAGACTCATTACAATTTATGGCTTGTGAAAATGAAACCGGATCCTTATTAATTCCAATGTCAAAATCTAACTCTTGCAAGTGAATCACATAATCATCTGAAATTGTAGGTCTTCTTTGTCTTTGAGACCTTTTTAATGATGATTCTTGTGATACTTCTTTGTTAGACCTTAATGGATTAGGTTCTTCATGGAATGATTCTTGATTTAATTGTTGTTCGTTATTGTTGAAACGTTCTACAATAGGAACAACATCCATAGTAGATTTAGGTAAGAGAGTGTCCACCCTTATCTCTCTGCTATCTATCTTCCGTTGTTCATCACTCCCACTAATCTCATCATTTTCAAGAAATTTTGCATTACCAGTTTCCACAGTTCTGCAACTATGGTTAGGACAGTAAAACCTATACCCTTTGGATTTCTTTGGATAACCAATAAGTATCCACTGATTGTTCTAGAATCCAATTTCTTTTCATGTGGGTTATAGATTCTTACTTCCCCCGGGCAACCCCAAACATGCAAGTGCCTTAAACTAGGTTTCCTTCCATTCCATAACTCAAAAGGAGTTTTGGGAACTGCTTGACTAGGAACCCTATTCAATAAGTACACGACGGTTTTTAGAGCATGCATCCACAATGATAAGGGTAACGAGGAGTTAATCATCATACTTCTAACCATATCCATTCATATTCTATTACGCCTTTCTGCTACACCATATTGTTGAGGTGTATTTGGCATAGTGTATTGTGCACATATGGACCGCTTTTCAAGAAATCTTGTAAATGGACATGAACATTGTCCTGGTTCATTATACTTCCTGTAGTATTCACCACCTCTATCAGAACGTATGAATTTCACATTTCTATCTTATTGCCTTTCAACCTTATTAATATATATTTCAAGGGCATTAATTGCTTGAGACTTCTCATGCAACAAGTGAAGATAGCCATAACGTGAAAAATCATCAATAAATGTGATGAAATACTTTTCTCCACTAAAGGTTGGAGCTTCAAAAGGTCCGCGTATATCAGTGTGTATAATTACAAGAAGCTGTGAACTTCTTGTGGCTCCTTTCTTATTGTGTCTGGTTTGCTTTCTCTTAATGTAATCCACACACATTCCAAGATCAGTAAAATCTAGATTTGAAAGAATCTCATTCTTTACTAACCTTTCTATACGTTCTTTGGATATGTGACCCAAACGTCTATGCCACAAGAAAGATGAATTTTCATTTAATCTACCACGCTTAATTCTAGAATTACGATGTATTGTGAGTAGGGTTTCAGCAAAAATACGATCAAGATTTAGTTTATATAAACCATCACAAAGAATACCAGATCCAATAAAAATAGTATTCTTATACAAACTAAAACAATGTTCTCCAAACCTAACAATAAAACTAGAAATGTCTAATTTTGAAAGAGAAACTAATGTACGAGAAATACAAGGAACATAAAGGGTTTCTAATAGATCTAGGTGATGGCCGATATCCAAGATGAAGTGATAAGTCCCTATTCCTTCGACCAAAGCCTTCATTCGATTCCCCATAAACACAAAGTTCTCATTTGGACTTGTGGTCCAGATCCTAAGGAATCCCTACATTGTATTGCAAATATAAGTGGTAGCACCAGAATCAAGCCACCAAGTATTATAAGGAACTTCAGTCAAATTTGATTCGAAACATACTAAAGCACTTGGCTTACCTTTCTTTTTGAACCAAGCCCTGCGTTTATGGCAATCTTTCTGATAGTGCCCAAGTTTCTTGCAAAAATGACATCTATCGGCCTTGCGTTCCTTCTTTGATTTTTAGAATCATCCTTAAACTCATCCTTTTTCGATCATTTCTTCTTGATTCTATTTGTCTTCTTTTGACCAGCTTCATGCTTCACAACGTTAAGTGAATGACCTTCTTGATTCTTCAACCTTAATTCCTCCTGTACTAACTTACTGGACAATTCATTTAAACTCCACTTATCTTTAATAGTGTTGTAGTTTACTTGAAATGTCCCATACTCAAGATGCAATGAGTGAAGAGTAAAGTGAATTAAAAAATCATCATCAATGGTCAAACCTAACCTCCTTAATTTTATCGCTATGTTCGTCATTTCAATAGATGATCGTCCATACTTCGAGAGCCGTCATACTTCATGGCTGTCAAAGAAGACATCAACGTTGCAGACAAAGATTTATCTGTAGAACGAAATCTATCTTCCACAAAACTAAGGTATTCTTTAGATTGTTAGTTTGTGGAAGAGAGTCTTTAATGTTGCCAGCTATTGTCATCCGCATAAACATTAGACAAAGTTTATTTGCCTTATACCATTTTTTGTGATAGAATTTCTCTTCATCAATGTTGGTATCAGTAATATCAGCAGGTTTCTGTTCATCGAGAGCCATGTCCAAATCTAAAACTCCCAAATTGAAATGAACTTGCTCCTTCCATTCTGAGAAATTCAATCCGTTAAACATGACAACGGATGATGCTTGAGAATGTAAAGAAAGAGAAACTGAAACTGCAATTAAATACTCACCATTAGCTTAAATAAAAACATATCCAGAAAATATAATTGTAAGATATATCAAAGTTCTCCTTTAAATAGATACAAGGATATATCATCATTCAACATGCCTATTTTTCTTTATGGGTGATTACATATATTTTTAATTAATTATATTTACTATCTTTGGATATGTAAATAAAATCAATGAAAAATATCAACTCACCTCTTTATATTCTTTATGCATAAAAACTGACTGACCTTTGGGTATGTCTAAATTTCTTATGGATAACGAATCTTAAAAATTCTAGGCATCAAAAGGACAACTTGAAAATTTACATATTTCAAATTTAACACCGTACTAGTTTGGCCACTTTGGTGACTTACAAACTATCATAATATCAAACATAAGCTTATGCACATAATTGAAAATTATAAAACCTTTTCTGCGTGGGAGCATAACCCTCCTCTCTCATTTTCACCTCCAACTGTCTCGGTAATTCATAAATCTGCTTGCACTCTGGGTGGAGTCTATCATCATAGACAAATCTATGGGCCTCATTCTTAAACTTCAACCACATTATTCCCAAAAGTCTTCTTAAAACCCTTCTCCTTTATTACAGCTCTAAGCTTTGCCACACTACCCCATCTCTCATCCAGAGCATATATATTTGATAACAGGATGTAATACCCAGCACGTTTAGGATCTAAGTGGAACAGATTCTTCGCTGCAACCTCCCCAATCTTGATATTGTGATGAATCCTACAGGCACCAAGCAAGGCTCCCCAAACATGGGGCCCAGCTGGAATTGGCATTTGGTTAATAATGTCCAGGGCCATGGATAACTCTCCCTTGCGGCCAAGAAGATCAACCATTATCCCATAGTGCTCCGAATCAAGACCCAGTCGGTATTCATGCAACATCATATCATCCCAATCCCCTCTTCAACCAAACCTGCATAACTACAAGCAGATAAAATTGAGAGGAAAGTAGCACTGTTAGGCCTAACTACAGGACTCCTGGCCATTTGATGGAAAACTTTTAATGCTTCTCTTCCTCGCCCATGAAGTCCATAACCAGAAATCATAGCACTCCAGATAACATCATCTTTATAACTTATCCCTTCAAATATTTTTATGGCATTGTCTATGCTACCAGATTTTGAGTACAACTCTATGAGTGAAGCCCCAACAAAAATATTGTTGTCAAATCCTTTTCTGACTACATAACCGTGAAGGCAGAAAGCTTGCTGAAGAACTCCTAATTCTGAACAGGATGCAAGAATCTTCACCATTGCAATAGCATCAGGTTGAGTATCATCTGATAGCATGTCGCGGAACACTTTCATTGACATGTAAGCCATTCCATTTAGAGCATACCCACCTAACAAAGCAACCCAAGAGACCACATCTTTATTTGTCATTCTACGAAAAACATCAACAGCTTCCTCAGGCGAAAAGCATTTCATGTACATATCAGTTAAAGCTGTGGATACGGAAACTTGTAACTCAAAACCTTTCTCAGCAGCCAGTTCATGAATCTTATTGCCCTCTTCTAAATTACAAGAAGCTGCACATGCTTGTAAAGCAATAACAACCGTAACTGCATTGGGTTCAAATCTATTCTCAATCATGTCATTGAAAAGCTTTAGGCCTTCAACAGCAGCACCATTTTGAGCATAGCAAGAAATCATTGAACTCCCTGATATAACATCTTTCTCCGGCATCTTCCGAAACAAATTAAAAGCATTTCTTGTAGAACCCGTCTTCGCATACAAATTCAACAATGAGTTACACAAACTTAAGTCACTAACATCAAACCCCTTCCTGATCACAAAACCATGCACACACCTCCCAATCTTAAAACTCATCAACTGTGCACAAGCAGAAATCAAGCTTACAAGTGTCACCCTATCAGGATTCACATTCTCAGCCATCACCATTTGATGAAAAAACATCACAGCTTCTTCAGGAAACCCATTCTGTTCATACCCAGTAACCATTGAAGTCCATAAAACAATATCTGGTTCAGAGAACCCTTTAAAAACATTCAAAGCACAACCCATTTGCCCACATTTTGAGTAGAACTCGATTAACCTAGAACCAACAAACATGTCAACCGCATTCCTCGCGTTCTTCACAACAAACCCATGTACCATTTTGCCATGCTTAAGCGTACGCAAACCTGCACACGCCTTTAAGACAATGGGTATAGTAAAATTATCAGGTTCTTCTCGAGTACTGAAAATCATGTTATTGAAGAGATAAAAAGTATCCTCCCATCGTTTCTCTCTACAATAACTCCTAAGCGTGGCGTTATAGAGGTAGACAGTTTTTTGAGGCGTTTCATCGAACACTTTGTGCGCATAATCGATAAAATTGATCAATAGAAATTCGCGCACAGAACATTGAGCTTTGTAGCAAAAAAGCTGTGATGGGCAAAGCCGGTTTTGAGAATTAGAGAATGTAATTGTACCAATGATTTGGCATTGTGGCACGAATTAAACAAACTAACAAACAGATCCGTCCTTGTCAATATAAGTCCCATTTCCATTCTCCAGATTTTTATTTCTACTTTTTAGGGAAACAAATAACTACAAGATTTTTGAAATATATACCATCTCAATATTGTTTCTTCATCTATTTCAATCCAAACCCTATTAATTTTTCTTTTTATTTTTCATTTTTAACAGTCCCATCTTAGCTGGCTGCTTATTTTATTACTATATTTATATGAAAAAGGCAACCGACACCAACGTTTTGCACTGAATTTTTACATTGAACAATATGTCTACTGAATCAGACGAACCACGTATTATGTTAATAAATATTTCACGAATGAACGACCGTCCATAAAATATGGACGACCAATGAACTCTCGTCCATATTATATGGACGACCGTCCATAGTAGAGGACGACGTTCATCTTTCAATATTAACAAATTTTAGTTTAATAAAAAAAAAATTCTTTTAAATTTTCAATTAAAATGTTTAAAATTTAAGCTTCCCAAAACAGGTTTTATTTTCTTTGCATTTTGTTTATAAATGAAAGATAAAATTGAAAAAAATAAAAATAAAAATGGAATGGACTGTCTTCCACTCATTTGGATGGCCGTCCATGAAATGCTCAGACAATGTCCAACTGCGCCTTCATACTTTTACTTAAAATCAATTTTTTTTTTCTTTTATTTCATCTAAAAATTTTACACTTTAAAGATGAATATTTCACCTTAATTAAACAATGGACAGGCATCCATCTAAAAGGGACACTTGTCCACTGAATATAAAATTTTTTGGACCAGCGTCCATTATTTTTCTTTTAAATTTTTTTGAAAAATGAACATCTATCCATATAATATGAACGGGAGTCCATTAAATATGGGCGAGCGTCCATAAATGTTGAACGGCCGTTCATTCATGAAAGATTCTACCATGTCGCGTCTGACTGGTTGTCATGTCATTCGATACAAAAATTCGGTGTAAAATTTCGGTGTCCGTAGCATTACTCTATTTATATTGTATTTATTTTATTAATTTTTCTAGGATTGGGATTTTGGATTTTTTAATCTCAATTTTTTAATTGTTAATACAAAAATCTATACCAACTAGAGTGATTCGATCGACCTTGGCGGGATCAAAACTGATGTGTACGTGATTACGGATAATTAGCAATGAATAAGTAATGAATGCAGTAGAGTAAATGGCAAAGAGATTTTTAAAGTGGTTCGGCGAAATAAACTCTTGAGTTTACGTCCACTGTTTTTGTATTTGCTGTGAGAGTTTACAATAGTAATTTTAGAAATACTTTCTAACCCTTTTCTCATTGTTTGAGGGGGTTTATATACAGAGTTTGCACAAAAGAAAGAGCGAAAATAAAAGGATTATAGTTGAATTGAAATGTAATTTCGATATTCTCATGATTGGGCGTTGTGATTGCGTAGCGATTGTTGTCAATATGATCTCTTTCAAGATATCTGAGATCCAAAGTTATCTGGGAATTGGTTGAATGATCGCGCAGATTGTTTGCGACTAGCTTGTGTTAGGTCGAGCTATAGCTCGACGAGCTTATGCTAGGTCGAACAATCGGTGGAGTCGAGTTGGTTCTGGGTTATGCTATAACCTCATGATACTCTAAGCTTGATGGAAAAATCACACACAACATCTGCTCCCTAGTATTCGATGCTTGTTTCGAGCTTCAAAGACTATTGTTCGATTTGATATCAAGCTCGGCGTGGTCAGTAAGTCATCAGACGTTGATTCGGTCGAGCTTCAAGGGTCGAACCCATGCTCGATCGACATACTTTACACTTGGATCTTCTTTCCTCTGTGACACCTGTCAAACTTGGAATATGAATGGTCAAGACAATTATGTAAATTTTACGCGGTCATGTTGCATTAAATACGGCAACCTGTGACAATCATATTTCATCGCGCATGGGTGACTACAGTTGTCCATGCACGGAGTTGAGGTGATGTATGACGACAATTATGATCACAACAGTCTGACAATTTATCGCCCCTTGGAAATGGCTGACACGTGACCACGTCCAAGGGTTAGGATTGTTCAATAAATGGAGGGTTGAAATTCACTGTAGATTGACAGCTAGATCGAAACCTATCCTTTTGCCTCCCATGCAAGCTACCATAAAAGTTAACGAAGCCGTCAAAAACTTACTCAACTTGCAAAAATTCCCTGAACCAAACACAACCTAACACAACCTTTAAGTAATTTTATCAACTTCGAGTTTGAAGAACAACCTACCAACTACGTTCTAGGAAAGTCCTTCATTTTGTTTCAGGACATATATATATATGTGTGTGTAATATTTTTCTTTTCCTTTTCGCACATTACATTGACGGGAACAACCAGTAAGAATACTAGGGGTGTGGAAATCCGGTTAATCGAACCGGATGAGGTGTTTTTTGAATCAAACCGATTTTTCGGTTCAAGCAATATTCTGAACCAAAACCAAATTGGAATATCATATGAACCGATTTTTAACCGAACCGATAATTCGGTTTAAAAAAAGGTTAACCAGTTTTAAACCGGTTTCATACAAAATCTTAAATTCTAGAACAATTTTATAACAGAACTTATTCACTATCTCCGATTATTCTCACAACAAAAATCAACAAAATTTAAAACTGCAAAATAATCCCAACTTTCTTCCCAATCTTTTAACACTATTCTCCTCAATATTTTAACTTCCCAGTTGCATTTACAAGACAAAAATCATGGATTCATGAAGGAAAAACCAAAGAAAATAAAAAACTTAAAACTAAGAAACCCGTTTGCTATAGATCCGATGGTTAAAGAAAATGAGAGATGAGAGTGGGTTGGTTAAGGATAGGTGTATAGATGTGGGGAAGAGAGACTTGCAGTTGTGCTGTTGCGGATGGTGGTGGGGAAGCTTGTTACCGATGAAGGTGTAAACGGTTTCCCGATACCAGATCGCAACCAACCGGCAAAGGCTTCGATCTAGATTACCATACGTCGTCGACAACCAAACACAACTTAGCATCTGGATTTAAAATGTGAAATAATGGCTTTTGTGGAAGAGAAAAATGGTGTTGGTAATAATAGGAGGAGGAGTGAAGATAAGGAGGGGCCAAGTGGGACTGTGAGAGATGGTGGGTATTTGAAAGCGTGAGTGGAGTCTTTTAAATTTGGCCGAACGACTAACAAGTACCTAAGATTTTCCGTAACGACAAATGGGTACCCAAAAGGTTTGGAATCGACAAATAAGTACTTTCCGTTCTATACCGTTAGTGATTTCCGTTTCATAAAGGGTAATACTGTCATTTTGCCCAGCCACCAAATTTTTAACTTTCAAAAATCTCTTCGAAATCTGGAGCAAAACTTACTTTAGAAGCTTCACTTTAAAAATTGACACGTGTCCCATTAGTTGACTTTGAAGGAAAAAAAAACAAAACTTGGCTTGCCTCTTCGTTTTCTTTTCATTTCTCTGTAACTCACTCTCATTTCTCTAATTCTCTGAAGGAAGGTTGTGAAAGAAGTTGCACCATTGTTTGGGACCATCATCGACGACGACGACGACTGAACAACGAAAACTGAACAGAGGCCGACGACGACAACAACAAAGACGAAAACTGAACAACGACGATGGCTGAACAGCGACGAAGTTGCGCCATTGTTTGGAGACCATCATCGACAACTATGACTAAACAACGAAAACTGAACTGAGGCCGCCGACGACGACAACGACAACGAAAACGAAAACGAAAACGACAACTGAACAACGATGACGACGAAGACTGAACAACGACAATCGAACGAGAGAATAGTGGGGTAACAACGACGGTGGAGGACGACTGAACTAAGGCCAGCGTTATTAACAGTATAAATCATCGACGACGACTGAACAACCAAAACTGAAGGGTAAAGTTTCTTCTTGGTTTTCCTGTTTGTTCTTCGGTTTTTTGTTATTTTAGTGCAGTTCTAAGTTTTTGGTTTTTCTTACTTGCATGTTTGGTTGTTTTTAAAGTTTTTTGTTAGATGGTTTGGTTTAGGGTCGTGGGGTAACTACAACGATAAAGGATGACTGAATTAAAGTTTTTTGTTTGTTTGTTTCATTTTTGGTTTTGCATGTTTGGTTGTTTTTAAGGTTTTTTGTTTGTTTGTTTGGTTTAGGGTTTGTTCTTAAAAGAGTTGGTTATATGCTAGATTGTGTAATGAATAAAATCCAGCCAAACGGTGGGGCTGGTTTGCTTGACTTGATTATTGGGAGTGTGGATAGCTTGTCTTATATATTTTTGGATTGCAGGATGAACTTACAAAAAGATTTTTGGTGTTGTTAAAGTTGGTTATGTTTGGTGTTGTAATTTTGCGATGTGTATAAAAATCTGTTATATGTGTTAATGGAAGACTATCGTCTTGATATGGTGAAATTTTGTTAACTGAGTCAAATACTATGGTCTTGATATGTGTATAAAAATCTATAAAAATCTGCTATATGTTTTAACTGAGTCAAATACTATGGTCTTGATATGGTGAAATTTTGTAGAAAGTGAGAAAAATTACCACTAAATTTAATCCTTCTAACCATTCCAGTTATGTCAGGAAAAAGACTTAAAAAGTTGCTTGATTTCTATAAAAAAATGGTCATAGTATGGTTTAGCACACCTCTTCAACATTCCGTTAGCAACAAGTAAAACAAAATATTTGCCAATAAAACAGCATTTGCCATTCCATTTCCCAACCACCTTTTTCTCTGAATATTTGCTCCACATAAGCACAACTCATGAGTGAGAAATTTTTAATCATTTCTTTCCCATGTTATATATACTGTATGTTGCTGTGATTTAATTGTCTAAGATCTGTTTGGCTGCTGAGAACCTTGTTTATAATTTCTGTTCGTGAGAGAATTTTGCCTGTTTGAAGATAATTAAATTTACTAGTATTAGACTTATAAACGCACTTAGTTGTATATGTGAATGTTTGTTTGGCTGCTGAGAAAATAATGAATGAATTTTAAGATTTAAAGCTTTTTAAAAAGAATGCATGGAGAAATAGGCTGCCAATAGTCTTGTTTTTAGTCTCTCTTTGTGAAGGAAAACTTTGCTTTGGTGTTGGTAATTAAATTTACTTATATTAAACTTATATAAACGTTATCTGTATGTGCGAATGATTTGTTTGGCTGCCGAGAAATGTCACGGAAATAAAAAAAAAAAAAAAAAAAAAAAGCAGGGAATGAAATTTGAGATTTAAAGCTTATTCTGAAGAATATGTCGAGAAATGGTCTCTTTTTTTAGTAGTCTGATCTTCTGGACTACTCGCTTAGAGAACTAGACATTTCGGGCTGGCAGCCTGTCCGTAGAATCTTCTAGATGCAAGAAACTTGTGTTTACCATAATTGGCTTTGCTTATTAATTTGAAGGGAGCCTATCAAGTGCTTAGAATAGTCAAATTATTTCTAGGTTTCTGATAATAGTTTGATGCAGTTCCTTTTGTGTGGATTGCAAATTTGGCGACAGAAATACAGAAATAGGAGTTTAGGTTACCGAATTGTAGGAAGTAGTTTAGTTTGTTAATCTTAGTTGTGCTTATGACTTTTTGGTTTGACTTGTGGTGTTTTGTGCGGTGATTTTAAATGATTTTGTTTTGCTAAACTGTTGTCATTTTTGTATCCAGAATGGATTCTGCAATTAAGCATGCTGTGGTGGTGAAAGTCATGGGACGTACAGGTTCAAGAGGGCAGGTGACTCAGGTTAGAGTCAAGTTTTTGGATGATCAGAATCGGTTCATCATGAGGAATGTGAAGGGACCNGATAGAGAAGAGGAAAATTTTGTGCCTATTTTTGCAGCTATGGTGTGCATCTGGAAACTGCTCAGTTTTTCAACCTGATTTGAAGTTTGAAGTTTCAGTTGTATATCATATTTTCATGTACCGAATTCATGGTTTCTGTTTAAACCATGAAGAATTAATTGATACTGAATGAATTGATGTTAATTATGAATGCTTTCTTTTAAATTATGAAAAATTTCAATTTTCAGCCACATTTGAATATATTGATACTGCTTCTGCCAAAATCAGGGATAAATTGATCATTGATCACTTGCAACATGAGGGCATAATTGCAACATGAGGGCGTAATTGCAACATGAGGGCATAATCTAATTCACCATAATGATGTAAAACAGGGAAAAATTTGTCACTTGAAACATGAGGGAAAAATTTGTCACTGGCAACATGAGGGCATAATGTAATTCACTATAATGATGTGGGTATTTATGTAATTGAATTAGTTGACTAATGATAAATTAATAAAAAACTAAGCTGTCAAACTTCAAAGGGTATTTTAGTATTTTCATTATTACAAAACGGAACTCTATAATAGAATAGGACGGAAGGTGTCGATTTGTCTTTTTGAAACCTTTTGGGTACCAACTTGTCGTTACGTTTAACCTTGGGTATGTTTAAGTCGTTCCCCCTTATGTTATTTCTATTTTGCATATAAAAGTGTTTAACTTTGGGAGATAAAGTAGTCAATTTACTTGTTAAACTTAATAAATTCATTATGATTTAACAAAAATGATATGTTTTCATTTTATAAATTTTAATAATTTATTAAAGGTTTTTAATTAAAAAAGGCCAATGACATCCTCCCATCCAAACTTTGCCTGGTAATAATTTTAAAACGACAATTACCCATCAGAATATGTTAGTAAAATCCATTTGAAGAGATATTATTAATGTTCTTTCATCTTTAAAATATAATTTGATAGGAGAAGTAGCTAATATTTTAGTTTTAATTAATTTTAGAAGATATTTTGTCAAGGCGAATTAGAGATGCAAAAATCCAAATTTGATTCTAAATTAACACCAGTAGAAACGAATGATAACACGTCCACGGGCTTTAACATCAAATTCAAATCACAGAAAAGAAAAGAAAATCAATAAATAATAAAACATATTGTATGCAAGTAGATAATCCAGAAGTAAACTAATAGAAAAACCATCTTCCTTGGCAGAATAAGTTTGATAGATTTTTTTGACCGTTTCAAAAAACTATCAAGAATTGTAATTCTTAACTGATTTTTAACCGTTTCTGATTGGTAATTCTTGATCGTTTTGAATGATTCTTAATGAATTGGTTATAAATAAATTTTGTAAATCTTGTTGTTGACTATTGTAGCCTCAATCGTTGATAGTTTTTAACTGTCAATGATTAAGTATATATAAAAAAAAAAAAAAAAATTGCCTAAAACTTTTCCCACCCATTTTTCATTAACTATTCCCATTTCACTCATTTTTGCAAACCCTCATAGTTGACCTATTTTTGGCACTGGAAAAAAAATTCACGTTTCTACCAATCCCGTTCAGTGGATGACGACTCGTTCACTGACTTTGGCGCTTACTTTGTGCCTATTCAGATAGAGATTGTTAACTTCAATAAGTTCTTGACGAGGTGTATCCCTAACACCCAAATATAGGGGTGTTCAAAAAAATATAGAAACCGAACTGAACCGGGAAGTGAATTGGTTTTTCGATTATCCGGGAAACCGGTTTAGTTTTGGTCCATAAAAATACATAAAACTGAATTTTCGATTTTATTAAAAAAATTTAAAAAGTAAACAACTTTTCCTTACAATTAAAAAAACAATTTAAATTAAAAAGTCCCTAAATCTAAAATTAAAGAAACTCAAAACCCCAAACCCCAAACCCCTTTTAAAAAAAAAAAAGTAAAAATTAAAACAATTTTGCCCAAAATTCAAATTGTTTGAACCCTCTAATTAACTACAGCCGCCCTCACTTTCTACACAAAATCCCCGAACCACCGCCGACGAGGCCATTTCTCTCCACTTCTCCACTTCTCCACTTCGTCCGCCTCTTCTTCTCCAATTCCTGCCTGAAATCCTTGACTTCTCCACTCCGTTCGCCTCGTCTTCTCCATTTGACGGCTGAAATCTGGACTTCTCCATCCGTTCGCCTCTTCTTCTCCATATATTTCTTCTTGCTGTCATAGTGAACTCAAGAGAGTTTTGAAGAAAAATACTCAATTGGTAAACTTCATGTTAGCTCTGTTTTTGAATTGTATGGTACTTTTGCAATTTCAGTTTTTGAATTATATAAATTCAAAGTCCCATCTCACGTTTAAATGAACTTTGCCTTAATGGGTCCATAGCTGATTCTTTAAAATACCTGGATTCAATGCAAGAACTGAATATTTCTGTTGATGAAGATGCTTTTGTTGCTTTGGTTGTGCCAAAACGATGACTAATATGAGTGTTAGGCTTGGTAATGCCTTCTTGAGTATGTTTGTGAGGTTTGGTGATTTGGGTCATGCGTGGTATGTGTTTGGGAAAATGTGTGAGAGAGATTTGTTTTCTTGGAATGTTTTGATTTGTGGGTATGCAAAATCTGGATTTTTCGATGAAGTGTTGATTTTGGGAGAGATCAAAATCAGCTTGATCTTTAAATTGTGGTTGTTATTTTTGGCACTTGTTTCAGAAATTATCTGAATTGAGTTATCATCAATGTATTTTATAGTGGTATGATATATTAATACACGAAGATTTATGGTTTTTTTTTTTTTTTTTTTTTTCCCTTCTCTGATTTCACATCTGGGCTGTTGAAGAGAAGAAAGGGTTTGTGAAGAGAGAGTTAGGGCATTTCGGTCATTGTGAAGCTGATCTGTTTGGGAACAATGAATCTTCAGATTGTGTGGAAACTATTGATAAAGAATGTGGTGAATGATGAGTAATGAAGGTGGCCATTACTGTTCGAAAAAGAGTGATGATATTTGCGGTGATGTTTGTGGCCAGGTATTTTTCTTTCCACTTTTTAAATTTTATTTATTTATAATGCTTTCGGGAATTTTTTATAAAATCAACAGTCCAATTGATTTATATGATTATTTTGTGTTTGTAAAATGGTTTCTGAGAGGGAGAGAATATAAACCTTAAAATTTTTGGATCTAGACAATTTATTATTGTGTTTTGATACTTTAAACGATGACTATATGTGAAGATGTTTTTGTAATGGGTGTTTTGCTTGTGAATATCGTTGATTTTGCTTATTTAAGTGCTGCTGATTATCTGCTTGTTACTCAAGATGGTATACTTATTATTATTATTTTTTTAATTTTACTTTTTGTGTTTGATCTTTTGTGTTTTGGTTTTAATGGGTTTTGTTATAAGTTGAGGGTGAATTTTTGGGTTTTCGTTTGTTTTATGTTTTAGTTAATGAGGACTGGAATGTTTTTGAGTTTTTAGGGCGGCTCGTGTTTTGACTAATTTGTATGATTTAGTGTACAGTAGTTTAATTTTGAATGATTTGTGAGAGTAATGTAGTTTTCTTAATTAGGTTTTGACTAATTTGTATTGGTTTAGTTTACTTTTGACTACTCGGTTCATCTTAACTTCAAGTAGACATATCAAATTCTTACGTTGTTTCCTTATAATTTCCGCATAAATTTTGAATTGTGTTAATCTTTGGAAATATTGACTTTGATCTAAAAGGAATGATACTGTTTAGTAAACGTTTAGTCAGTTTCTTGATGGTATCTCAAACACTCCTATAATCGTGTTTGAGCTGAGCTGGCTTGATAGATGCCAGAGATTTCAGCCCAACCTTCTTCTTGTGGAGACTGGGGATTCCAAGTGCTTTCCCAATTTTTGTTTTAGCCTATAACCAGATTGACCAATAAAGAGTCTTGATGTATCAAACTGAAAAAATGGCCTTATGTGTTATTGGTGAGTGTATTCTTTGTTTGCTGGTTCATCAGATGGATGTCTTAATTTTTCTTTTTTTGCATTGTCTTTTAATTGGCTGAGTTGTTGACCATTGTGCGAGAGCATTTGTGCACAATTACATTTCACATTTATGGTCTTTGTAATTAATATTCATGCTGGTTGTGTTTTTTAATCTTCTGAGGTGTTGTCTAGTGAGTAGTGCCTTAGAATGTACTTGTGCATCCATTTGTACAAACACAAAAATGCACATATACAAATGGATGATTTTTATTTTGTTCACTCTAGGAGTATTGGGCTTCCATCTGTGCCATGTAGAATAAAATTGCACATGTTTCTGAGATAGATCCTGAAAGAGCCAACACTATATGAAGACTAGGCCATAGGTGAATAACCTTACAATTTAGTCTGTGGAGGCCTTAGATGATTGCAGTTGATATTCTGCTTTGAAGGGAGTTTATGTGTGTGCACGAAGGAGAGTTTTTGTAAATTCTTGGCGGGTTTTAATTAGCAAGTTCTTCTGTTTAGTTTTTTATCTTCTTTTGTATATTCTATGTTACTGTGGTTCTATTCTGAGGTTAAGAAGTTGTGAAATTTGAGATTTTTTATGTGTTTATTTGGTTATCCTTTTTGTATAGTTAAAAGGGTGTTTTTCAGGTTATTGCTTCATGGAATTGGTTTCTTGTTTCCTTTGTTCATGCTCTTGCTTAGAATCTTGAAGCATATAATGATTAATTTCTGATTGTTTTCAGGTGCATATATCCTTGTGAGATGGACGGGATTATAGTTAGAAGGGTGATTCCCTCAGACAACAGTTGCCTTTTTAATGCTGTTGGGTAAAGACCAAACTATAAAATTATTGTTAGTTATAATGAAACGAGTTTTTGTTTCTGTTTTTTCATTGCTTTTTTGTTTCTTTATTTACAGATATGTAACGGACCATGACAAAAATAAAGCTCCAGAATTGAGACAGATTCTTATCTGTTACATCTTATCTTTGCTGCTAAACATGTGTAGTTAAAGATCTCAAACATAATTCGATTTCTATTCATGTGTTTGCTATGATTTATGGGGGGATCTTCAAGCTTATGTGCTGTTTTGAGAATTGGTGGGATGAGTTTATTGCAGTTAAATATAAATGTTCAGATTTTATGTGTTGGAATATCTACTTAGCTTGATACATCTAATATATGTGCTACTTGTGTCATGTGAGATTAATGATGCGTAGAAGTTATGCAAAGTGCCTTTATTTGTCTGTCGCTCTTTCATTTTAATTATTAGTTTGAAAACAAATGCTACAAACGTTATTGAACAGACCTTTGAATGAGTGATATAATTGACATATTGTATTGCCTTTTCTAGTTGACTTTCTGAACACTGTGATTTATGAACTTTTGAAGGCTATAGCGGCAACTGTGGCAAGTGATCCTGTAAAATATTCTGAAGTTTTTCTTGGAAAGCCCAACGAAGAGTATTCTTCCTGGATTCAGGACTCAGAGAAGTGGGGAGGTGTGTTGAACTTCTTTTCTTTGGGCATGTTTTGGCGGTCATTAGACAGTTGAAAGAAGACGGGCCTAAATCATTACGAATGCCATTAATGATTCATCTCAGAACTGCTAGCGTTTCTTGTTTAGCCTTATATATGGGAAGCATCTAGCTTTGCCATATTTCTTACATTTGGGTAAAGAGGGTGACTTTCATGTTTACACCATGGAAATGTTCTGCATGTATATGTGCTTGTGTGCTTGGTTTAGTTGATGACCTTTTGTACTTAGTTTGCAGTTCATGTATATGTGCTGCATGAGAAAGAGCTTACTGTCCTGTTGCCGAATTTGTGTGTTATGTGACAGTTCACATTGAAATTGCAGTATAAGAGCATAGCACAAGTAAATGAAGATGCACTGAAGCAGATGGAAGTCGCTCATGAAAACTTCAAAGACCGTCAATGATTGATTAAAATTCTGTCAAATCTTTGACGGGTTATAACTGTCAAGAATCTGTTAAGAAATTCTTGACAGTTTAAAAAGGGTCACCTTCCTCTCTTGATAGGAGTTTCAATGACTGAGTGAAAAACTATAGGAAACCTCGTCAAGAAATTGGGTTTTTCTAGTAATATATATAAAAAAAACCATACCACTATTTTTCAGCTTTGGGCATGCATATACATTGATCTTTTTCAAACTTGTGAAGGGCGAGGCACTTGAATAGATGCTATTCAAATTTGAGGGAAGCTATAAATGAAGAAATGAGTATACAGTGGGTTCAGATTTTTCATCTCTCGAAACGTCTTTATCCTTAAGACTTGGAGCAAGAATCAGTCATGTCAAGTTCCTCCAATTTAAAACTTGCCAATTGGTGTAGTATTATTCTGATCTTTTTCACTCTTTCTTTAACTTATGTGCGCAATGGGAAGTTAATTTTCATCTTTGAGGAGATGACCTCGTCACCATACGGGAGATATTGTAACATTTTCACCCATGATGTAGTTTGAGTTAAGTAAAAAAATACACCTAGAAGATTTTGAAAGTTACAAATTCACTCAATTTTTCACTTGAAAAGTGAAAACTAAAATACTTAAAATTATTGTTTTTAAGTTTCTTATTTGAATTGATGTATGATTTTTAATTTTCGTATTAACCAATCATGTATAACACGATTGTATTGGTAAATTGGCTTTAAATGGATCGAACTTTACCTGTAATGTTAAGGGTTTGAACCGTATTTAAAATAATTTGTGATGAAGTGTACTTACTAGGGATGTGCAAAAGAATTGGCCGAAATCAGAACCGGTAGGTACCCGGGTTTGATTTTAGTTCCTATCTGGAATCGGTCCTCACCGAATAGGTTACGATTCTAAAATCAGGAATCAGCTGGTTTGGGTTTCAGTTCTAATTTCAGACTGCAAGAACCAAGAATCCGAACTAAACCCATATATGATTGAAAAATGAGGGGTCAATATATAAACGGTGAGGGGATTGCAGAAACTTGCAGAAGAAAGAGAAAAAGTTTTGAAAAGAACGAGAATGAAAGAGAAGAGAGAAGAGAGAGGAGAGAGAAAAATTAATAAAATATAAATTAAAAAATTTAATAAAATATTAATATATTTATTTTGTGAATAATGCTGGGCACTTGGAACCGAACGAGAAAAACCCAGGTTCCAATTCCAAGCATTTAGGAACCGATTGGTTCTAGTTCCATGGGATACCTGCCCACCTTTAGTACTTACTCGAGCCTCGATCAGAATCAGTCTCATACTTTTGGATATGAGTAGACTCAAGGCTTTCACAAAATAATAAAAAAAAAAAAAAATAATAATAATACACGTTTCATTTTAGATTAGATGTTACACATCCAAGTTCTGCTTCAGCCTCTCCACATTAATTGTCGGTCCGGAAAAAGGGTAGAAAAACGTTTTGAGTAGCTTCATCCTCCCATTCCAACCCTTCCCACCAATGTTTATCTCCTCTGATAACAAATTCATGTTTGTTTGTGATTGCGCGACTGGAATCAAGTGGAAGCTTCTTAAGTAGTGGACATTCATATATCTCCATTTGCTGCAGAAGTGGGAAAGACAAGACCTTCCGGTGGATGCTCTTCAATTTTGGCAGTATTCGTAGTGAACACTCGTTGACTTTTGCAAATGGGTTCAAGTTTCCCATTATCTGTTGAACTTCACCAAACTTTGAGATATCGATTATTTCTTCCATAGCAAAGCAATCAGAAACATACAAAGACCTGAGATTGGGAGCAAGAATAAGCCACGTCAAGTCCCTCAATCTAAAGCAAGACCATAAATGTACTGACCGCAGGTTTTGAAAACCATGAGGTTCTCGTATCTCTTGGACTTTACATATAAAGTCAATCTTCACCTCTTCCAAATCTTCACAATTGAAAAAGTGTAGAGTATCGAGATGCTTCATAGTTGCTAAAGACCAAACATTAAGGGACTTAATATTCTTTAAACGTCGAAGCCCCAGAGATTCGATCAAGTTATGTAACTTACGGGAGCTAAACAAATTTTGGACTGCAGAGTTACTCCCTAAGTCAACGCTTAGTGTAAAACCCATTCTAATAATATATATATTCCCTTTGGTTTTGTTTATAAGGAGGGACTTTTCTGTCAAATTTTAAAGTTTGGTTGGTGGTGAAAACGAAGAAATGGAAACTGTTGGGTTTGCATGTTGCAAGGGCACAAAATCTGGATGTTTTTGTAATGAAAAGATGATGTGGCAGGGTTGTATTAGAATTAAGAGAATTTGGAGGCTGTTGTAAGAAAAAAAAAATTTGTTTTATATAAATTTGGGCTGCTCGCCCAAATGAAGGAGAAGAAAGTGGGGAGAAGAAAACCGAGAAAAAGAAAAGAAAGAGAGAAAGGAAGAGAGAGAAGGGAGAAAAGAAGAGAGAAAAGAAGGAAGAAGGAAGAGAGAACGTTCGGCCGAGAGGAGGAAGGGAAAGAAAAAGATAAATGAGAGAGAGAAAGTGAGGTGAAGAGAAGGATGATGCTTGGGGCAGCTGAGTATTTCGGGTTGAGCTAAATTTTTTTGTGTGAGTGGTTTCTTTAAAACTTTTCCAAAATCTAGACCTTTTTCGATTGCTTGTTAAGTGAATATATTATCTCATGCTGTTTGATACAACTTACTGTTGACTGTGGCTTTCCTTGCTTGCATGTGTTTGGCTGAACATGGAATGAGTGAAACTGCATCAGATCTGGTCCTAATGAAATATACTTGTGTTGCATGTCACTAGATCTTTCCTAAAAACACAAGACTCATGTTTGTATATTGATGTCTTGTTGAGAGTCTTGTTATTTTGTGAAACTAATTAAAAATCCTCCCTTCATGCTTCGGCCAGGTTGTAACCAGTGTTAGTGTACGTAAGTTAATCAAAAGCTGATTTGTGCTGCTGGATAATATGCTTGGGTGTTTTTTTTAGCTGGACAGTAGACTTGATGGTGTTGGAAGCATGCTTTAAATAATGAATAAATGGGCCTGCTGTGATTCTTTTTCTTTCTCTTATTTATATAAGTATAACTCGCCTGAGCCGGTTGTAACTATTGCACTAGTTTTGGTCTATAAATATGTGACTTCATGCAGCATATTTTTGGTATGAAAAGGGATGGTTTCGTGGAATTTTTATAATGGAATGTGTGCTTATAATGAGATGGAAATGGCGTTATAAAGAGGAATAAAATTTCGGCTGGTTAACATGCTTGGAAAGGCTGAAATTTTTGCTCTAGAATAAAATAATCACAAATGTTTTCTTGCTTGTTCTCGACATGGGGAAGTTTCTTTTTACTTGTAAATGAAGTGCTGTAAATGAGGTGTTTGGCTTGGTGTAATATAAGTGATTAAAAGGCAGGTCAAAGGGAGTTATTTAATGTCCAAGAAGATTTTATTTTGGTTTATTTTATTCAATTATTTGTGAAAATACCCGTGAAGGCACCAAAGAAAATTTTAAGTACTTTGTTTATTCATGTTTATTTTATTCTAATATGAAATATTATTATTATTATTATTATTTGCTCTTTGGTTTAATTATAATTATAATGTGTCATGAGTTTTGGCTTTTAAAAGTGATATTTGTTCATGATTAGTATCGGACATATGCTACGATCATGTGATGTTGAAGTAATTTTTTAATTTGGGTTAAACCGTCAGTTTCTGAAACATGTTTAGAAAATTACAGTTTCACCGCTATATGTGATTTTGAATATTATGTCATATATGCATGATTTATAAGCACTTATATAATATGCTCTTGACTTATATTTTACTTGAGATTATGAATGAGATATTTGTGGTGCTACAACCACCCTACGAAGTATCCATCCTCCAGTTTCAGGCTCTGCCCATGCGATGCAGGATTCGTTGGGTATTGAGATATTCGGTCTTCAGGCTCTGCGCATGAGTATTGAGATATTTATTGCTCTACCTGGGCGTTGAGTTTGTCCGCCAAGTATTGAGATGGTTTTCTTCAGGCTCTGCCCGCGCGATGATAGATCTTGTCGGGTATTGATATGTATTTCCCAGCTCTGCCTGTGTGTGGGATGCCCACCAGGTATCGAGATTTTTCCCCAGGGTACTAGTTGTGGTGAGAACCTTTAGTATCAGTTTACTATTTCGAAGCAGGATATCAGTTTAAAGTTTTCAGATACCAGCCTACAGTTTTTCAGTATCAGTTAATAGTTTCAGTTTTCAGTATCTGATGGATAGTTTGCATTAGTTATATGAAACATTTGATGTTTGTAGCATGATTTATAGAAAACATTGTCTTTAGAAGCATAAGCATTTACAACTATTCTTTAAGTTCTCATACAAGAATTTTCAGATTTAGTGATGAGCTAGGATTCAGAAATTGTTGTCAGTTTAATTGATCAGATTATAATACTTAGAATAATTAGAAATGAGTTATGCATGCATACATGGATGATTAGCTGCCACCATAAAAGAATGTTCATGGAATCATGTTGTTTTCTGTATTTTATAAGAACCATTGCATGCCATAACTTTTGTTTGATGAATGTTTTGCAAACTTCCCCTTTCCCCCACTCACTGAGTATTTTAGCTCACCCCCTTTCAAAAAAAATGTTTTCCTCCCCCCAAGTTTACAGGGAGATCGTGTCGAGCAGTGAGTCACCGTTCAAGGTTGTGCCACGCGTTGACATCTTTTTATGTGGGTTTTACATTTACGTCGTATTGTATCTTTAGACTTTCATTTCAAAAACTCATATTTCCCATCATGTATTTCTTTTTTTTTTTTTATGTTTCGGAATGTGTTGTATAAGTGGAAAACCTGGTACCACAAGTTTCCCTATATTTTTCTTTTGTAAAACGAAAGATGGTGTACGCCTTTTTTTTTTTTTTTGAGATGTTGGAAATGAAAATACTATGATGTTAAGTAAGTTCTTTAACAGTTTTCACAGTTTTTCTATATGACACGTCTTGGGTATCCAAGTCCTGTGGGAGCGCCAGGATCCTACGGGATAAGGAAATTCGGGACAGGTCGTGTCACTTAGCACATCCCAAACTTCCAAACAAAGCAATTCCTCCACCAAAAATTCATTTCCGCCAAACAAAATGCTATCTTCACCAGCTTGACTCCAAGAACCACAACAAAACATTCTCAATACGCGTAACATTGAAAACTCAGATATCAATTTACGTACCAAGATCAAGTGTGTAGTCCAAGTTCAAACATTTAAGATTAACCAAAGCCTTTAACTCTTTTGGCAACTCTTCTAATTGAGTCCTTGAGAGATCAAGATGTTGTAGTGAAACCAACTTCGAGAT